AAAGTGTCCTTGTCCATGGCAGGGGGTTGGAACTGGATGAGCTTTAAGGTCCCTTCAAACCCAAACCATTCTAGGATTCTTACTACTCTTCTAGCTTGCATAGGATCAAAAAATACAGATCTTTCCTTGGGTGATGCATATAACCATTACTCTCCCTTCTAAAATCCCATGCTATTAACCCAGCTAATCTTGGTTTTCCTGCAGAACCCCAGCACATTTTTGCACAAGACACTGCTCTGAAAATTCAAAAGGTGATTATTTCTCTCTACCTATATTCCAGGGAAGGTTTCTAAAGGAACGAGACTCAACCCAGCTTTAACATGACTACATCTGAGGAAGCTGCAAATTAATCAGGAGAGCTTCCAAAGCTCGGTCACAAAATACTGTTCACTTGCTGAAACTGCTCTAAGATAGGATGATTTCACAGCTGTCTCAGAAATGAATGAGTAGTAATTACATACTGACTTCATACGGACCCAGTCTGACAACAATGCCTTCACCTTCAAAATTAGACAGTTTTGCCTCAGTATTGGCTCTGCTCCCTGCAAGCTCAGGTTCAAACTGGGATCTTGAGTATTAAAGAATTTGAAGCTTTTTGTCCAGGGATATAGGCTATGCTGTGGTGCTGTGGGCAGTTCAGAAAATGGTTAAGCTATCCTAACCTCATAGCCTAGTCCTTCTTTCCAGTGTTAGTCCTCTGGGACCCCCAGTTCTGGTACCATCAAGAGCTGGAAGGCTCAGGAGGATGGAGGAAAGATGCTTCAGCAGTTTTAGACAAGCAAGAACTGTAGCACCCAATTTTTGTTAAAACATTCAGAAGGATCTGATGGTTTTCAGTTCAAATGAGGCATCTTTACAGTACTTATCCTAGATAACTGGTGTATAAAAATACGCAGATTTCTTCAGACTTCTCCTGTATCAAGTATACAGTGGGGAAACAATGTCTTTACTCAAGCCAGTAAATGAGCCCTCTTCCTGTACAATGTTTTAATGAAAATGACAGGGTTTTCTTACAGCCACACTTTAATGTAAGATGTAACACCATACAACAGAACGACAGGCTACAAACTTTGCTGCAATCCTAAACTAGCAAAAATGCCTCAGCACAGCATTAAGAGTCAGCCAGACTAGCACTGGATGATCAAGTCATAGAAGTTGTCAAAGCTTCATTTTTCCATAGGGACTACGGAAAACTAGGCTGCCTGCCAGCACAGTGAGACATTAGGGGTATCACAGTGTTGGCTTTTCCAAGAAGAAAAAGTCTTGCCTCCGCTGCCTGTTCATATTACAGCAACGCAGCCTTCACCTTCCCATCACCAGAGGCTTGTGCTGCAGTGTGGTTTCAGGGGAGCTCTATAAATGGTGGGCAATTTGGGAATGCTAACCTAAAACTCACATCTGCCAGCAATTACACTCACTCACTGAAGCACAGAAGAATTCTGCTTATTTGTATTAAGCTGTAAATGCAACATGGCATTGGCTTTCAAATACAGAGATAAGCCTGTCGTTACCTAAACTGAACACTGTACATGATCAAAAAAGACAGGTGTGCCAGCAATTATGCTCTTATTCCCAAACTTTAATCTGGTTGTGTATAAACCAGCATTGTTTGCTACCTCTGAAGATTTATTACTGCAGTAAAAAAGATCCACTCTCAAGAACTAATATGCCTCCTCATAACCATACTCATACACATGTAACACCTGGGAATTCTCCCAAGCCTCTCAGGCAGAGTCCCCAGGTTGAAAGCGATCAACTGCTGAAGGACAAAGAAAGAGAGTGCTAATCATGCAAGAGAATAAATACGTCCTGTAAGATATATCCAATACTGCAGCAGCTTTAAAGGGACAGCATGTCACAGAGGACTCTTAATATCTTGTAACTGAAACAAGCTGGGGTAGCTGCCAGATTCATCTATATGGTAAGCTACAGAGATGTGTGCTATTAACATGCCATATGGATTATTAAAGTACTATTACTCCTGAAGGACATACTGACCTGCCCTCTAGTATTTCCCCAGTATATTTTGTGTTCTTTGTAGGCAGGTCCTGTAGCCCCTGAATTACTATCCTCAATTTTTAGTTCATGGACACTGGAGTGACCTCAAGAAAGCTGTTATTCAGGATATTAGCAATCACACTGACTGATCTATGATATGTATTTGGCCTCTGCTCTCCAGGGGTATTGCCCAAAGCTCAGAAGTCAAGAGAGGCTTCCAGAGTCAGGATCATTCTGGAGGCTGTCAAGGCTGGGGAGTACTGCTGTATGAATGAAACCTGGCCTCCACATCAGTCAGAGCAGCAGTACTGGCCAGAAACACCAGCCAGTATGCCTCAGAGCTGGTGGTTACAGAAGGAGCTTTTAAATGGTTTCAAGACATGGAAAATGCCACAATTAGGGAATCTTAGATTCCTTATGCAAATATTTTTTATATGTCCTCCCATACCAGGACACATTTGATTTTAAGTTTGTTTTCTTAGGGAAACAAGGTTTAAGCAGCCACAAAGTCTGTTTGCCCCACCCAACAATCTGTGTCATTCATTACTACATCTCTGTTGGATTTATATAAAACTAGTTGTCCAGCAAAAGTCATGAAAACACATGGCCAGATAGAACAGAGTGATTATTTTCATGACTGAGAGGGATGAACTCGCACCGCAACCTTCATCACATACCACTCACAGACCACTCTTACATACCAGATCCTGGCTAGTGGAAACAAATCTTGAAGAACCTAGATTTTCTAACTCTCCTACACACGGAACAACTCACATTAATAACAAGGGCAGAAGAAGCACCCTCATCTTTCACACTCTCCTTCCACTTACCAAAAAAAGCAGCTTACAGTAGCAGCCACACAGCACAGGCATGGCAGAAGTCAGCATTGAAACAATGCAACTTTCAATTTAGGATTACAATTTTGCACCCAAACAAGGTAGTATGTAGGATCCCATTGGGAGACTTCTAGCTGGAAGACTCTTTTCCCCAGTGAAGGTCATGACAAAAATATTTGTCACAGGACCCCCTTCAGTTCACTAGGAAGCATCCAACACTGCTAACAGAGGCAGGGTGAATGCACTGCACCCTTCTACTTCCCCTTCCTTGCAGCAGGCAATGAGGGATTGAAGCATAAACATGATCTGTAGCAACACTTGGAGTTGGTGTGTGACAATACAGAATTAGAAGCACATGTGCTAGGCGAGAAGTGTAATGTAATTGGCATGCTCCAGACATTAAGCCAAGACATTGACTGGGAGATTAAATTACGAAGGTGTCAAATTCATAGGAGGGATGAAGGCAACAAAGCAGAAATAGTTGGCAAGATAAGAAAAGGAAACATTATATCAGAAAAGATTTTTAAAAAAATGCAGGTTTGACACCCCAGAAGGCACTTTGACTAAATAAAGAAGGTGGGAGTTGAAAGTGGCTGAAACACCTGAAGTCCAGACAGGGCATTGTTTTACATGTAAAGCATGTCAGCAAAGGCAAAAGAAAAACCAGGGCAGACCTCATCTACTTATTCTGTAAGTAGAAGCCTGGAGATCATTATGGGCTTCCTTCTTGAAAACAAGCCAAACACATACAGCAACAAGGACTTTTGTGAACATACAAATATCAGGAAACAGGGTAAGCACACAGGATCGCTGCAAGGCCAATGCCACACTGACATTAGGACAAGGAACTAGCAGCTGGTATAAAATAAGTCAGGAAAACACTTCTGTCCAAGAGGAAATGGAAATGAAAAGGGAAGGACCTCTACTAGGTCTATCCAGGGAGATGTTATTACCCATAAATGGAGCAATGATACTAAATTTGCATAAAACACTACTAATTTGCTATCAGCAGGTATAAGATAACACAGCCTTACAACCTTCACTGCACACAAAGAACAGTCATTTCTGGTGTTATATACACTCAAGCAGATGCAATCAGAAAGAATTTATAGTCTAAGACCTAGTATGCACATAAAAATTTACACCCCAAATTTATTGGGATTACATACAGCTTATAAAATTATTTTAGGGTTTTTGGTGAGAGGGACAAGAGTTTTATATGCTTACAAAGACCTGACTTGCAAGGTTTGTGCTCCAAGGAGACAGCAAAAAAAGCCCCAACCCCTAAATACGTTCAATTGTGTCATGTGTCTCTTCTACTCACTTCATCTCTCCTTCAATTACTTGCCTTCAAAACACACCACCTTCATCAGTTCTCAATGAAAAATCCAAAGGCATCAGCAACTCTGAACTTTCAGACATATTTGAAAATGGAGAAGTATTTTGATTACTCTGAAGTTTATTCATGCAGACTATGCTTCTCCTCCAGCAGGAGACATAATCATAAGGACAGAGTTCAGAGCTTTGCTTCCTCATCCAATGCTGTTTGTTACCTCACAGTTTTCTGCTATGACCATTATCTCTTTACTTACACCATGAACTCCCGCAGATCTTTTGTGTTTCCTCCTGCCATAAAACACTATTTTGACATATCCAGAGACTTGTAAAACAGAGTACCATCACAAACTGATCATTTTTCTGCCACTCTATGTCAAACTCATGCTGTTTATTAATACCATGCTATAAAACTCTATCATAAAATTACTTGTTTCATTAACTCCCCAAGCACTTTATAGGTTTTCAGCTAGAACTATCACCACTGTAGTCTGCTCTCCCATTAACACTGGTTTCTCACTTTAGTCAGACTGGAAAGGCAAACCATTTCACCAGCTCCCAGTCTGACAGTTCCTCACTACCCTGACCCATTTTTGAAAGCACAGGGAGATAACTCAACTTGCTTTCAGAAATTTAGACCTGAAGAATTATGGTAATGGTGACATCCCAAAAGCTGGAAGATTAAAACATGAACAAGACTAACCAGATTCTTTATTAATGATTTACATGTATAATCATATAAGAAGAGCAAAAGCCCATTAATATCTGAACATTTTTTTACTCCAAAACTCAAGAGACAAAATTGGGAAGGAGGAGGCGTCAGGAAAAAAAACAGCAGCAAGCAAATAAACAGGGAAGAAAATTCAAAAGTGTTTTTTCATAATATTTCACTGCAAAAACAAATGTAGACAACCACTTCCACACACATTTTGGGTTTTTTTAAATATACATTATAGGAATCTGCCTTCTGACCTGGTCAGCTTCCTAGCTGGGACCCTCAAATCCTGGCAACAGCCATGGAAATCACTCCGCTGTCACCTTGTTCAGCACCCTATCCCACAAAGATGACTAACTGGGGAGCCACTTCTGGGCCCTGAAAATGATATTCCCTATCCAAAAATGGATCTTAGGAAGCATCTGTGTTCCCCATAAATAAGCCCCTACAGGCTAACTCATGAAGAACCAAGGATCTGAAACGCAAAGAAAACCAAATCAAAGTCCAAAACATGTAGAAACATCTCCTCACCTGCTAAAAGACCACTTACTTCCGTATTAGAACGGAATTCAGCCCATACATCATTGCAAGGTCTGGCTTGAGTCAGCAACCTGACCATAACCAAAGAAGAGTCTTTGCACAGTAGCATTTAACCAACATTTCTCTCACCTAAGCAAGGCATTTCTCCTGTACACTCCAAAGCCCCTGACTCAGGGCTTCATCTGGCTCTCCAGCATACGAAGGGGGGATCATTTGAGTTACTTGTTCCAGGCAACCACACAATTATTAGTGCAAAGAAGAATCCAGAAAATCCATCAAAACACACAGCAATTCATGCTCATTAATAAATTTTCTATCAAAAGCCACAGAAAATATTTCAGTGACACAGGACACGAGCAGACTACCAGCATGCCAGCTTCTCAGAGGACTCTCTTTCTCCTGGAGAGTTGATGATACAAGCAGAAATATCAAAATCTGCCTCACAACTTTCCCAAGTGTTGTGAGAGCATGCGTAAGCTGATGACGGGTATGCACATCGCAGATGCACACAATGCCACTCACTGCAGCTTAGAAATGAGATCTTATCTTTCCAGTGCTTGAATATGTCACTTGGAGGTAACTTCAGCAACTCTGCTGGGGCTTGTTAACACTGTCAAGAAAAAAATAAAGAGAAAGAGAAGTCAAGAAGGAAAGGAGTATATCAGAAGACAAACTGGCTTGTTCACAAGTAAAAATGGGAGTAATTCCTAAGTTAGTACCTATATCCAAAGCGAAGTAATGGTTCCTGTAATTCTTACGTAAATTAAGGAAAACTTAAACCTGCAGAACTGAGCAGAACACTTTGGTAGTACAAAGCCTACACCATCGGGGACAAGCCACTTCTTCCACACAGCTGTGCTGCCTGGGGCAAGCGCCACTTACCCTCAGGAGACAGGTCTGCATGGGACATAGGCTGGACCTTGGGGTGGCGTCACACAGGACTTTGTGCAAATAGATTTGTAGTGCAATTCATACCAGGTCTAGGGCTGGACACGCCACAACTTCTCAACGTCAACAGAGGACCCTATTCCCACCTTTCATGAACTCCAATCCAATCAAAAAATACATAGTTTTTTTCTAAAACAGCCTCAAGTCCAGGTTTTTCAGTCTTCGATTGACAGCATCCTTTAAACGGCTTCAGTCTCTGCAGAGGGCACAGGAGATGCTGCCAGCTCAGCAATCAGCTGGGAACCTGACACTGAACTATTAGCCAAACACTTGGTCTGTGTCCGCTGGATAGTTTCAGGATGGGGGGTGGTGGTGGACAGGGAACCGGCTTCCCTTTTCCATCACTCTGGGACTGTGGTAAGGTGCCTATCCCTGGGAATAGCATGGAGGAGAACTCTGACAAAGACTGGGGGCTTAGGTCCTATTTACAGTGCATATGCTCAATCTCATTGATACCGCTTACTCCAGTAGGCTTAACATACACTCTCACACATGCAGATCAATCCTTAAGGGTCCATTATTCTGCTGCTCCAAAAAGCACCTGAGCTCGTAACATAAGCATTTTTACAGCTCTCAGAAGAAATCTTTCTAAGTTCATCTACCTTGTGCAAGCCAACCTTGAAAGACTAAACCAGATGCTTAAAGAAGAAAATAAATCATAAATGAACATGTAAAAACTCATATCACAAGCTCAGGAACATAAAAATCAAAGTTTAATTATGAAAGAAACCTAGTCTAATGAACCTAATGTACAAATCAATACAATCCAACCCCCCTTTAATGCCTGGTTGAAGCCAAGGTTATCAGAAGTTATCATTTTTATGCCTTACTACAAATTATTCCACAAACTGTAAACAACATCTTCACATGCAAATGAACCATATATAAAGATGAATATAAATCAATGGAAACTATTTATGATTACACTGTGACAAGATAATTTTGTATCTTTTCACGGTTCTGCATTAAGTGGAGCATATTTGGTATCAAATATCTATGCTATTCACGGCCAGTGTACACCCACCTTTAAACCACCCAGGTCGTAAAACACAGAATGAGACCCACTTCTGTCACTTAAATACCAGCCATGAGGACCTTGGAGTATTTACTGAACTCCAGACAAACCCTGGCTGCAACCACCCCAGCGCAACTCCTCTCCCATGCAAACCTGCCTTGGCAACACTACTGCAGCCAAGCAGCAACATCCCCAGCTGGCAGTTAACACATTCGCTGAAGCTATACTTGCTTACACTGACCTTACCAGAGGAGAAGCCACAGATAACAATTTAACTGGAGGAGTTTAAGAGATGTGCGGCCTCAAGGAAAACACACATACATACACACACGGCTCCTGCTGGGGTAGGGGGCACAGAACACCACAGAACAGCACACCCCACTGCGCACAGCACCTCAAAACTAGACACGGTAAAAAATCCACCCTGGGAGCCTGTGCGGGTGTCACAGCGCAGGCAGGGAAGCACACACCGCGCTCTGCCCGCAGGAGCGGGGAAGCACACACCGCGCTCTGCCCGCAGGAGCGGGGAAGCACACACCGCGCTCTGCCCGCAGGAGCGGGGAAGCACACACCGCGCTCTGCCCGCAGGAGCGGGGAAGCACACACCGCGCTCTGCCCGCAGGAGCGGGGAATCACGTACTGAGCTCACGGCGACCTCCGCGTCCTTCACACCGCCCTTACTACTGCGGCCGCCGCGGTCACCCAGCGACGCGCACGCACTCACCTAGCGACGCGCACGCACTCCAGAACGTTCCATGCAGCCCCGCCCCTCCGGCACCTGTACCCGCCGCGCTGGAAAGTACCATCAGCTCCACTGGGGGGGGGAATTGATGGCAGAAAGTTGGCGGTTCTGAAATGCCCTCTCTATCGTTCACGCTGAAATACCCAGGCCGAGCCGGAGGGATTGAGCAGGGCGGTCATTTCAAGACATTTAGCGCAGCTGCTTCGCCAGAAGCAGTGACACTGTCTCTCCCGCCCTTGCCGCACAAGGGTTGGTTTCCGCCGCCTGCTCCCTGTCAGAGCGGAGCACTGCGGCGGGTTATGGCGGGCTTTGCCTGTGGTGGCCATTGCGTCAGGGAGGAGCTGGATCCCCTCAGGACGGGGAGGGCATGTGCCTCAAATGAGGACTCTGTTCTTCATGACAAAAACAGCAAAAACAATTAAAATAACGCAGTGCCCTTTCAAACAAACCATGCACTTAGGCATCGGAGCGATAAATCCTGGGGCTGCCCTGCTTCCCTCCCAGTCAGTGCAAAATGGGGGCGAGGGCAGCCCCGGCTGCTCCACCTGGACAACTGCTCCAGCTCAGAACACAACGGGTACTTCAAACACAACTTGTGCCCTACTCTTTGGTATTTAAACTTCCCTCCTAGTTCCCTTTCTAGTTTGACAGTCTGTTAGCAGCGCTCCCAGACTCACAGACACTGGAACAAAGCAAAGATTATGGTTTGGCCTGCGGTGCTGTCTGACGATACAAGGCTGTTAGCTGTCCCCAGAGCTCGCAGTTGCGTAATTATCTCCCATCTTTTCCTAGGATTTTGCCCTTGTGCTTCTGTTCTCAAGCTTACAGCTAAGAGCCTTTTCCTTCAGACCTCCCTCCTGCCTTTGCTGCTGAGAGGAATATACAGGGAATGACCTGTTGTTCCAAGAGGGGCAAAACTACTTTTATCATCCATAAGACTGGTTGTTTTTCTTCTGGTCCCCCTCGACTATCTCACAACCCCTTTTTGTTCCTCAGGGTAAGGACGGAGCATTGCCTGCTCTCTCCAGAACTTAATCTACTTTGCTGGAAGAAAGAAGCAGGAAGGGTAACAAACCCCAGCAGGGATTTCCCACAGGCAGAGTGTGAAGACTGATGTGTTTCACCCTAACACAAATCCAGCTCCAGCAGATTTATGATTAAACTCTAAAAATTGGCAATACTGGAAGGAATTAGTATCGTAGAAGATCTTCCAGTCAGAGGGGTTTTGGATTAGAAGGACAAGGAGCCTCACCGAGAGACAGATTCATCCCGGTTGCACATTGCTTTCTGCCCCTGTGAACTGAGAGTAATTTTGAGCGGGTAGTACCTGAGACATGAAGTACATCTGGTTTACCCTGGTGTAACATGAGACTGAGCTTTGAATTTTTATGAACACAGAGAAACAGCTGCAGAAGTTAAAACTCCCAGTAATCCCCCTCAGTAAAGTATTTGGCCCAAAAAGGAGTATATAAACTCACAGGCTTTGTGCATCATTTCTCATACGTGCTATTCAGGTCTGCTGCTTCTCAGCACACAGCGCAACAGCTCATTCAGCCATGCATGTAGCATTAGATTTAAAAGAAAGGTGACATTTACATCAACCCCACCTGATGCAGCAGGTGGCCCTTCAAAGCACCTGCAGTTTATTTGCCATTGAGATAACATAGGAGGTCCAAAATGACAAATCAGGGTAGCATCATAGCATGGAATCAATCTGAGAGAAAACCAGACCTTTTCTGCCATGAAAAGGTCCTTCACTGCCAGTGCTCACATTCCTGGTCACAGTCACACTGTTCATGGGCTGGCAGAGATTGGGAGGAGACATCCTCCACAGCAAGAACAAGTAGGATAACCTTCCCCACAGCTGTGGATGAACTGAGAGGATGATATAGGTTGTCAGAAGTACTCTCCTTAGTGTTATTAACTACTGCCAGTAAAGCAGTTGCCCCTTGGCTCAACAAAAAAAGTACATTTTGTAAAAGGGATCCTGGGCCTGGAAAAGCAGAAAATGTGTCTGATCTCATTTAGAAAGAGACAGCAGAGAACTCAATTTGTATCCTGCATCATGCTTTAAGATCCTGCATGATGAGAGCTGTTCTACTTTCAGGGTCCTATGCTGGCAATCCTTAATTACACTGAGCAACATTTCCTTGCTTGAGGAAAGCCATAGGGTTCTGCAGATCTGTTTGTGTGAAGTAGTATTCAGAGAGTTGCAGTGTGGCTTTGGTGCTAATTGCTTCTCCTGTTTCTTCCTATAACGTGAGAGCTCCTAAACGCTTTTCCAAAGAAGCCAGAGAGAACATTGCGTGTCTGCTGCTTTTTCATATAAGTGAAATGCATCACTGCCCTTTACAGTCATTATCAAAAGCTGTATTTAAGCCCTGAGTGTGGCACAGTCATTTTTACTGTTTAACATGTTTTGGGCTAGTTTCACTTTTGTCTAAGTATCTTGGTTTGTTGTGGGTTCTCCTTCCAAGATACATACTGTGCAGGAGAGACTTTTACTGAATACTTGGTTCAAGAAATTGGGTTTTAGATATTAGGAAAAATCAAAAGAGTAGCTCCAGGGGGCAAATTACCAGGTCAGAGCTCTGAAAAGTGTTACGTAGGCTTTCTGACACAAAAACCAGTCTGGGGCAGTTGGGAACAGGCATCATTTGGGCAATAGAGTTTGTGACTGAACATGATTGAAATCCACTTTAGAGCCCCTAGAGCAAGAAGATAAGTCAGATCTACCCCTTCAGAATTATTTCTTTCATATCTTTTATTAGCAATACTATGAAGCTCTAGTTAACAGTGTAGCAGCAGCAAAATATCTTAGTCACAGCTACAATTTGGGGAAACAAGCAGAAATTTAATTTGCTACCCAAACAGTCTGAAACTCTTGAGATGTTCTTCTTTTGTC